ATTCGTGAAAGACGTCCGTGGGCAATTCGAACGCGTAGCAGCCTTTTCGAGTTTTCGAATTTCTAATCAAAACGAAAGCAATACTTCAGTTCTTTTCACTATTATCGTGGATAATGAGTCTCAAGCCAGTGATTTATGGCTGAAATAGAATCATGATTTTTCCGCGCAAGATTCCTTTAACTTATGCGCCACCGTGGTGGTGTACAGCAAGATACTACGAGGTGGAGCTTTAATTTGAAGCAGATGCAAATATGTCTAACGATCGTGCAGTTACTGCATTTTTATAATCGCTAGGGGTTTTTAATGCTTCCCTTGTAAAGTTCCAATGAGTTTTGGTTGAAGAAAAGTTGGATGTCGATTCTGACGTCGTGGCGGTTGGAGTAAGATTTTTTCGCTAGAAAGGTGATCTAGACAGAGGAGCAGATAGTCGTTCGATTACACGACGTTAGCTCTACATGGTGAGGCTGAGAGAACTGTAGGTCCAAGGTCTCCAATTTTTTATGAAATTTCTTCGCAAGGTGGGGTCGAACGACCTCAGAAAAAAGCAGACTTTGTCTTGCTTTACTTTCAAATTGAACGCGTCGCCATTACGCTGTAGATGTTTGATCTTCTTCAGTGACCCTAGTATTACTGGGCGGCGGTTCCCAGCGCAAGGTCCCTCTCGTGCTCCACCAATATCTCGGAAGTGTCGGACTCAGAGGAGGTTAGGCTTTTCGCGAACTCCCGAATCTACTTCAGCTTGAGCCAGGTACTGCTGCTTGTGGATTTGTTGACACCCTACACCTAGTCCACATTACCGGTGATTAGCTGGATGATCGATAGGAAATGTGGGAAAACCAGAAGGAAGATAACGATGCCAGATGGTGTTTTAAATTGATTTGAGCTCATAGCATGTGATAGATATCTACCTATTCAAATCTTTACCGTTCAAATTAGATGCCTCAGTGTCGCGCTAATGCGCTCTTACAAGAGGGTTAGTCCGTCAAGATTCTTTTCCAGTAGTGTCGGGTCAAGCAACGAGCCAGCGTCGAACCACTCATGGAGTGATTCGACTGTGGATGAGTTTTAAATGAAAAAAGCCAAGCTAAAAAGTACAGTGAATCACCGGTGCACCGTGGATTAAAGGAGGAACTCACGATAAGAACGAAGGTGAAGGAAGGGGAAATTGCATAGTTGGGAGACAGGCGGACCTCCTGAGGGTGCTGACCGACGCAATTGGCAGCGAAAGATTTGACCTCGGCGATCTAGCATGGCTCACTCTTGGCGCGGTTGGCGGGGTACGCCCACCGACTATCTAATCACTCGCCGCAGGTCTATACGTGGCGAGTGATAGCAGAGAGAGCGTAGTGTTGAAGAGGGCACAGCGATGAGAGTCGCATCAATGCGCAAATCAACGGGCAAGGAAGGGGTCCCATTTCTCGGGTTCTGGGCAGGGTCAACCGTCCGTTGGACAAAGTCCAACGCGACGACGAGAGTAATGCCGAGAGTGAACGTACGCACGGAGACACAGACGGCTCGCGGGTGGCGAGAGTGAATGCCGGCGCGGAGAGCGGTGAACATCGGTCCAACGTCGCTCCAATATCGGTCCAACGTAACGGTTGACCCTGGTTCAGGCCTTCACGATGATTTCTTCCTCATCTCTAAATCACTTACCACCTCTACCCTCATTTTCAATGAGCTAACTTTTCATCGTGAATTCTGAATTTAAATGAAACGCACCTAGTTAAAAGAGTATAAGAAAGCGAGCTAAAATGAAAGGCAAGGGGCAAACGAGACGGCTGCTTTTCGGATATTAGTGTGTATGCTACCTTGCAGGGCATGTTGGGAAGCCTCAATGGTTCTTATATGGTTTTACGGCAATAAATATGAAGTGGTTCAGAAATTGTGTGCCAACCTGATACGTACAAGGACGTGCGGAGGTTAGACGATATGAAAATATTCTTATGTGGAGGAGCGGAATATTTCATCAGCCCAAGAAAGTATTCAATTGGACCCTGCACAATACGTTTGCAAGCGCTTACAACTTCACCATCGGCAGTCCGATAATTATGCAGAATGTTATTTTTGCATCACTCCTCCCTGAGCAGAAGTTGGCCTCGGACTTCATAGCTTTACACTTCTCCCCATTTATGTATATATTTTCTTTTGCTTCAGTATGATCACAGGTCTCAGATCTTTGAATTTCCTCATTTCGTGCTATTTCTGTTTCGGTCCAAGACTCAATTTTCGGTTGAAGGATCTCTGTGCCCCTGATTCATAAAAAGAAATACAGCAGCACACAAAAAGTGTAGACACGAAACAACTCGTAACATCTATTGCAGCAGTATGTATACGAAATGTGTGATATCACAATATGTTCCGACGCTTCCTTCATCCATGCTGTCCCATAAGTCTGAGATCAATCGATAACGTGCTAAAGTGTCAGTGCTACGGACAGGATCGGTACGTAACGGTTTGTTGCCAATTCAGACTGGCGAATATTTAAGCGATTTCTCGTCGAACTTCGTGGCGTTACGCAGTCGTAGAACAAAATACACCAACGCCACCAAACAGGCGCCCATAAGCATTTTCTGGAAGAAAAACATTATTGAAAATAAACGAAGAAACTCATTGAATTTGAACATCACATATATTATTATATCCGTATTCAGGGGAACCTCGGCGTTAGCAGTCGAAATCACATCAACGAGTGACAATTCAGATGTTAACAAGCTGTTGGGCATGTGTAGTAGCGGATTTTGTTTTTGACCTAGCGTGGCCAACAAACAAAAAATTAGGCGCTCATGGGCCTTAAGGGGGGGGGGGGGACGCAGAAAACAGGGCAGTTGAAAACCGCTGGTAGTTACACTAGAACTAAGCTCAGGAGAGGGGCAAAGCGCCAGGGAAATCAAAAATTGCTCACATCTTCCCTTAGAACCCCTTCCTCCTTCCAAGGCTTATGGATAGTCCGAGTACTGTAAGTGGCTCGCTCACAAATTAAGTTGCAGTGCGCGATGGAACAGGAAGACGATGGGCATTGCATTCAGAAGCAACCATGACTTGAATAAAAGTTGCAAAGGACGGCACTAAAGATCCAAGCGACAAGTGAAGAGTAGTACTCAAAGCAACAATGCCTCGGATGGGTCCATACAATTGCTACTAATCAGGTAAAAAGATGCAAGGATCGTCGTCGGGAAGAGATGAAGTGTTGTTGAAGCAAAAATTGCCCTCAAAAAGATGCTATGAGGCCTGGACAGGCGCCAACGTCATTCCCTCCGCCTTTTCGTCAACCCAGTTCCTAGCGCTGAAGATCGCAGGCAACGTGGCTCACGACGTAAAGCAAAGGATAGACTATATATTCAATAGGTATGATACATGATGCATCACACCGGTGCAGCTGCGTCTTCAAACTCGTCTGGAGACGTCTCTTCCTCGTATCAAGATGGAGGTAGAGGTAGAGGTAAGGGTTTCATGGAAAGGTTTCATGGACGGTTTTACTTTTTCATTCTCAGTCAACTAGGTATCCATACTTTCATGATGGATGGAGGCAGGCGCTTTCATTCCATGGTTAGGTAGTTGTACTCCGGCAACTTGTAGCCATCACACTGAGTATGTAAAGCTCCTTTCATAGAATTCAACTGTTTTTAGCTTAATTTGGACAGGTCTAGTAGGATGCTACAGCGAATAAGGAGTTCTACCCATAGCTCACCAGTATATCCGATCCTAGGAAGAGTCGATTCCTGAAGAAATTCTGCCATTTGTCGGCTTCTGAAAAAACAATCGCTATTCGAATGCTACAATATTTGGAACAGAATGAAACTAGGTGCAAAGACAAATTTTTTCTCTGCGGCTCCTCACCATTCAGTGCTGCACTGGACATCACTGCCACAGCTTCGCGACAAGACTCACTTCCATCTACGCTAGCCGCATCGAGTAAACATTCGGAAAGTGTCTGGGCACATTCATTTGGCGAATCCTCACACAAATTATGTTGAAGTGCGCAGGACGACAATGTCGCTGAAAGAATAAATTAGCGTTATGGATATATCATGTAATATGATATGCCCTGGACCCTTCTTTAGCCCAAACCCAAATTTCTTTTGGACGAATCGACGTCACTGTGGATGACCACCAAATGACAGTTTGAAGACCTATGCTACAACCATAACCTTATACCAGAAGCGCAGCTTTCGAGGTTTACGTGGTGAGCTGCTCCACAGAGGTCGTGTCAGTGTCGCTCCTCGAATGTAACTGGCAGCGAGAGCGCAAAAACTTATTTTGCTGACCAAAACTCGTCTCTCAATTTAGTTAGTTTCCGCCGCCTTAATGAATGCAGTGAGCTCGTGCAGTACTATTCTTTGGCTGCTCTTGACTTCCCTTTGTGAGGAACACCGCTCCGGGCGCGCATTTTCGTCGACATGAACTCGCACATTGCCTTAAGACGAATTCACGAGCAGAATGAAGATCGAAGAAAGGAGTAATTCACCTAGTTTTGAGGGACCCGCGGACTTCCGTAAGGGTGCACTCGAAGCGCAAATGGCACCGAAGGAGTTGACCTCGGCGACCTATTAAGGCTCAATCTTGGCGCGGTGGGCCAGTGCACGCCCACCGATCATCTGATCAAACATCACGCACACACCGCCCCTGCAGCTCTTATACGGGTGGCGAGGATTAGATGACGTAATGCGAGGACGATGGTGTAGAAGAGGCAACAGTGATTCGAGAGCCTTATCAATTGTCCAAATCCACCAGGCAAGGAAGGGGTGCCCATTTCTCTCTCGGGTCTAGGTCCGTTGTGCTCCAGGTTTCTCGCTTTCTTTAGTGGTGCACTATTCACTATTCGTTAAATTAGATTTGGAAGAGGTGGCTCTTCCAACGTGAATTTCGTCTTTACTCCGAAAATATTACCACCAGTACTCTGCTTTTCGGCTAAAAAACACTTGAATCTACTGATCGAACATCTCCAGTTACGAATTCACGACATGGCTATGTCTTCTTTATTTGTTGGCCACCCAGTTCCTAAGCATCACCTACGATTCTGTCGTAGTTCACAGATGTGCCGTAAACCGGATTCACAGGACAAAAAACAAATGCAAGAGAAAGGTGGAAAGTTGAGCGTACGTTCACGTATTGGCCGACCAGCCTGGTAGAATCTGCTTGAAATGAACGTTTTAGGGAGTCGGCGTCTGTATGCGTAGTGTTTGAAAAAGCGAGGTCGTCCGGCTTCTACCACAAGAGTTGTATACATAGACAGCAGCGGACTTATCCCACAAGTCTTATACGATTGAGTGCATCATACACCTGTGTAGTTCGCGCTGTGGCGATATGCACCGAAACCGAATAGTTGGACTAACGAGCAGCTGGCCTCGAGCAGATCCAAACAGTCACGTCTTATGATGGCAGCTTTCTGAAATATTCATTTGACCATTGACAATAGGTAGATTATTTCAGTGATCTTGCAAAAGATGTTCTCGTTAACTGGTAGCTGACTTGAAGCCGCACATTGCCGAACACTCAGACGATGAGAGAGATTGTGGAATTCTATGACGTTCAAGAGCAGCAATTTAGCACGATGGTTAAGGGCAGCCTCATTAGAGATGAAGATAATAGAGTGGTGCAGTGCTTCCGGTACGAAGAGAGAAAACATGGAAAAGTGGGCCTGGAATCAAGAAATGGAACCTTTTCATGCCGGTTAAGTTTTCGAGATTGTTTGGTCGTCTTTTCATTCGATGATACTTGCCAATCAACAGGTAGCGCTACTCTGCTCACTAAACGGCTGAGATCAGATGGCGAGTGGTTACATACAGATAAGCGTCCGTTGTCATATGACATTGTAAGAAATTTGATCAGCGTCCATCTTACCTGCCATGCAACGTTTTTTCGCCTTCAAAACGAAACGACTGTCGATGGTAAGAAGGGCGGAGGAGGTATATAATGGCTCAGAGAGCTGATATTCCAATTTCGTCTACTTTACGCTTTATTCGTGGAGCCTCTCATCATAATGGTCAAAAACCCCTCCAGATACGTCCCCATCCATTTCCAAAAAATACGACCCTACTCAGCCTTTCAACCTTCAGCACTGCCAAATCCACTTCTGCAAGGAAGACTTAAATTTATGACACGCACCACAAGAGTTTCAGTGGTAAGATTTTAAGTGACACAAAAACCGATTTTCAGCTTTTTCGTTCGGAAAAGCTGAAAATCGGTGAAAAGATTCCTCTTGGATTCACCGATTATCGCAAGCATGCGAGTTGAGTCAAACAACTACTTGCCAAAACGGGGCGACAAGTTATTGTTCTGCAACATAGCATTGGTGTGATACATTCGCACGGCGCACTGCAGTCAATAAACAGCAGTCCAGAAAACAAAAACGAAGTCAAACTCGTTGCAGGCTTTCACCATGCTCAAGAAGTTATAGTTGTGAGGCTAATACTTGGTAAGTATAAACACCCGGACGAAACGATGACCATACGAGTTGGAATTAAATGGAGATCCGTAGGCGTAATCAGCAGCGGCGCTTGCCCGTTAAGTAAAAGTGCAGGTTCGCGTCACAGTTGGGAAAGTTTGTTCCCTAACCCACGCTCTTTTTGCAACCTACTCATTACAGTTCAAAAAATGCCGTCAGCCCGCACGAAATTACAAGACAAAACTCTTCATATCATGTTATCAGAAAGAGGTATTGCTGCAGCTCATCTTGGTGCAAACAGTCCTGCGTGGAAAAAGCGAGATCTATGTAAAGGCAACGAGGTTCGCAGACTGGAACTTTGATTCGCGTTTTTTATTTGTTTGGAAATCAAGAACAAGGAAGGAGCGAACATCGAGCGGGAAAAACAGAAAAGCAGCGCATAGAAACATAAATTCATCTCTGATGAGGCGGCCGTGGGTGATGACGGTAGAGACTCAGCGCTGCGGAGGCGAAGGAAACGCTCGCCACACCCCGAAGAGAACGTAGCACAGGCGAGAAGGGCGCAGGCGCGTATGCGAGCTCTTGGTAAGATCGGGAGCACGGTCAGCCTTCACAAGCGAGCTCTTATGGTTAGTGGCGCTACTCACATTTTCGAAGTCGCGACGTGTCGCACCTCCTGCGTTTGGAGATTCCTCTTTTCCTACAGCCTCTGGGAACCCTTCTTTCTCACGCTGGGAAGGTTTGGCTCTTAGGATCTAACCCGCTAGTGGCTTTGAAATGGCGAAAATGTATAGGAAAGAAGTTAGGCCCCTCAAGACATTGCAAGAAATTGTGGCAAACGACTAAGAAATTTTGAGTGGTACATTTTAATAATTATTAAAAAAATACCGGAAGGAATCAAATCTATGAGTGTATCAAATAAAATAGCAGATTGCTATCATGGCTTGAATGCAGTTTCTTTTAGTTCCAAACGGAAGGTTTCAAAGCAATCGTAAGCACGTCCTCCACTAGCACGGCGCCAAATGGGGAATAGAGCATATGTTTGGTTCCTGCTCACAGGACATTATATGTCCCGGAAAGCGTAAAGGCGTGCAAGGGAATTTGCAGATTCTGCATTTATACGGATTAGGATTTCGACAGATGCTTATGTTGGTTTTGGTGTTTTCGCTCTTCTGCTAAATGCGTGACAACATTTCGGAATCTTTGCTTACAAGGGAGGTCGTTCAGGGTGTGCCAAGCTTTTTCAAAATGGTTTCTTGCATGACATTGGGGCACATATGGGGACCACAGAAGCATGGTTCATTTTTCCTGAACGGCTCTCTGAATACCAGAAAAGGGGTCCCTAGTTCGATTCCTTGTGGTGACAAGTTTTTGCATTTCGTGTTTGTTACTTGTTTCCTTCGTTCAATTACCCGCGCAAAATGGAGTTAGCATGAATAATTAGTACCAATATTCATGATTAGGAACGTCAGTAACCCTTACAAATAGACTTTGATTGAAAAACTGGTGAAAAAGGTGTGACTAGGGACCCCCTTTTCTGGTATTCAGAGGGCCGTTCAGGAAAAATTAACCATGGTTCTGTGGTTCCCGCATGTGCCTCTATATCATGCAAAAGACCGTTTTGAAAAGCTTGGCACACCCTGAAAACCTTCCTTGTTAAGAAAAATTCGCAAATGAACGACTGCAAAATGTCTCGGAGCAGATATCTACAACTACAGTTTCATCAAATAAATATTCTGGTAATTGACGTTGAAGAATATTTTGACCAAAAAATTTCAAGAGTTTCAAATCGCTTAAAACCAACTCTGCTGATTCAATGGAAAATTAACGTGGAATGTACATACATCGATCGCCAAGGCTGGTTTTTTCGTTAATTCCCATGTGTAACTATTAGTCACAAAAATGGGGTCTATGGGCTCGTTAAGGGCACTAGGCCTCAAAATTGGGTCGTACAAGGATATTTGGAGCAGAACAAACAAACCATTTAATACATATCTTGGTTCCAGATCTAATACTAATGTGTATTTGAATTGATGGACACCCTCTCCTTCAGCACTTCTTCAGGAATGTTGCACCAATCTTCAGAAATTGGTGGAGATGATCCTTTTCGTTCACTTCATTTTTGACCTCTTGGCCGTATAGTACTAATCGAATAGAACACCTATTCGTCCCCAGCCACAGTTCTGAACAAGAGTGCAACTCCTGACCAAGAGTCAAAATTACAAATGTCAACAAGAGATCAACAAAGAGTAGGAACTCGATACAATCAGACACGTACGGTTATATGATCTAAAAGTGAACTCACTCGATTGCACCCGCAGAACTCCTCGTCACATTGCTCTTGTCCCAGTTGATGCGTGTAGCAGACGTCATGCACAACACAGCAATGGTTCACAGCCACTAAAAGAATCAAAAATGAGAACGTCAAATTTGGTACTAATTTCAGATGTTGTTGTTAAATCCATTTATTAGGTTGTCCCGAAATTAATGCCGGTTTTTGACCTCCGTCTTCAAAGCAACATATCTCAGCTCAAACTCAACATTTTCAGTAATTCAAAAAAGTGTTGGAAACTACTCATTTTTCTTAACAGGAAGCGTACTGGTTTAATTAACGAACTTGAGATACAGGAACAATAGAAGCTCAAATATCGGCCAAGGTCTTTTCCATCATGTCTCGGTTTTCAAATCTTTTTCTCCCCAAGAAGCTGTCGAGATTGCCGGAAAACAGGAGGTTGGTGAGGGTGAGATCCTGCGAATGCACTGTAAGAAGCAAAGCTGGATAGGTTGATTTATCCCTTTCTTACGAAGACCTTTGTGCGACATGTGGCTGGGCGTCAACATGGAGAACAGTTCTTTTCCTTCTTCTGGTTAGAGGCCTTTCTTTACGGAGCATTATATCGATGTTATGGACAGACATTCATGCTCTACCAAAATCACCTGGGCTCAGAAAGCTGCGATGCATCATTACTCCGGAAGGCCACGAAACCATCAGCATGGTCCTCACCTTGTAGAAATTCTACTTTGGAAAAAGTTTTTGATGTTCGTAGTTGTTTAGATTTTTGGAAAATTGCTCTATTCTATAGCGAAGGGTCCTATTTCCGTCGAGGATGACGAAAAGTTCCAGAGTCGGACATTTTTGTTGAGTAAAAAAAGTTGTGCCAAGATCCCTGCAAGGTGACTTTGCTGCTGCTCAGTCAGTTCATGCGGTACCCACTTGTCCAGCTTTCTTACCTTCCCAAGTACCTTCAGGGCCGTATGCAACAAGCCCCGAAGGTCTTCGGGGATATATCCCCGAAGTCGTATGCAACAAGCCCCGACGATCGTCGGGGACATATCCCCGAAGTCGTATGCAACAAGCCCCGACGATCGTCGGGGACATATCCCCGAAGTCGTATGCAACAAGCCCCGACGATCGTCGGGGACATATCCCCGAAGTCGTATGCAACAAGCCCCGACGATCGTCGGGGACATATCCCCGAAGTCGTATGCAACAAGCCCCGACGATCGTCGGGGACATATCCCCGAAGTCGTATGCAACAAGCCCCGACGATCGTCGGGGACATATCCCCGAAGTCGTATGCAACAAGCCCCGACGATCGTCGGGGACATATCCCCGAAGTCGTATGCAACAAGCCCCGACGATCGTCGGGGACATATCCCCGAAGTCGTATGCAACAAGCCCCGACGATCGTCGGGGACATATCCCCGACGACCTTCGGGGCTTGTTGCATAGGGTCGTCGGGGAGGATTCGTCGGGGATGAATCCCCCTAGTCTCGACTAGGGGGATTCATCCCCGACGGCCTCCAAACGTACGTGTTACTTGAGCTAACTCAGTGGTCAGTCAGTTGGACTGTCGACGCGTAAGGCTGCTTTCATAGTCTGCGATCCGTGCCGTCCGCGCCGTCCGCGCCGTCCGTGCGGACCGCTCGGACAGGGTGAAAAACGTCAACACGCGCTCTGGCGCACAATTGCGTGCTTAGCACGCAGTCGGCGCCTCCCTCGATCGATACCTCGATTTCGGTGGGTGCATTTCGTGCATTTTTCAATGTTTCGTGACATATCAAGTGTTTGTGAATATGTGGTGTGCGTTCATTCATGTTTTTTAGTTGAGACTTCTTCATTCTTGCCTTAGTCGATATGTTTCGGTAAGTCGGTAAGTTAATCAGTGCGCTTTGCTGATTGTTCAAATGAACTATCTTTCTAGAGCTCGCTTTTTCGCTGATAACGTCTGCGCGTGCCGCAGGGTAAGGGAACTGAGTGATTTCTCATCAATATCGCATCACATATTCACAAACATTGAAAAATGCACCGAAATCGAGTTATCGATCGAGGGAGGCGCCAAGTGCGTGCTAAGTACGCAATTGTGCGCCAGAGCGCATGTTGACGTTTTTCACCCTGTCCGAGCGGTCCGCACGGACGGCGCGGACGGCGCGGACGGCACGGATCGCAGACTATGAAACAGGGTCAACCGTCCGTTCGAACTGTTCGAACGAAGGGGTCGCATTTTGGTCGGAAGGGGGTCGCAATTTCGAGGACTGTCAGCCACAGGCGCGTGCGTGGCGTATCCGAGGGCAAGAATTGTTTGTGCAGACCGCATTAGATTCGATTAATTATGCACAGAGAGACAGTTTTAGGCAAATTACGGTGTTTTCCTTGAGGAATAAAGAACAGTTGAATGCATCCCTATGAAAGGTTTGACTTCTCGGGGCTGAAATTAAAGTTCTTCGGGACCTAATTTTCTGAGGACGATTCTTCCAGACAACGGTAAAACACATAAGAAAGCAGAAATCTCGTAGTCTTCAAAAATGTCTTCGCCCCTCCCCAACAAGTTCTTTGAAGGAAGTTATTATTGCTGAAAGCTCAAAAACTCGCATGTGCTGCTCAAAAACCTATGGGAACAAAATGTTCGAACGTGTGATTTTCTCGGAAAATGGATTTTGAAAAACGTTTGGTGCTTGTCAGAAAGAGCAAATCCCTGTACTTTCACCCCATGAAAAAAGTGCATCACAGAAATGAAAATGAAGTGAGTTATGGTCGCTGAAAGCCCAAAAACTCGCTTTTGCACGAAAAATGTTCGAACGGGACAATTTTTTGAAAAGGGGACAATCACTAAACTTTTTATACTATTTTGTTAGAGAAATATTTGAAGTTTCTGAAACTTTTTACAGATTTCCAAAAGGTCGCATACGAAAGATTTTATGGGCCTTCAAAGTTGAAGGTGCGCCTTCTTAGAATTTTGGGTTTTCCACTTCTAACAGAAGTACTTTCCGGAGAGTTAGGCAATCCCTTGTAGTTTTCTGAAAGCGCACCTCAGGCACAGTCAAAATCTACCTCAACAAGTCAAAAAAAGTACGTCCCAAGAAAGTTATTCCCCTCTAAAATTTTTTCTTCGCCGCGTCCCGTTCTTCCAGCGCCCGGGTGATACCTGCCGCGCTCCAAGGCCGACGCGACGACGCGCAGACGCTTTCTGGCGCAACGGATTCATGTCTAGCACTCTTATTAACAAAAACAGGGGGTCGCAACTGGACCCCCTCGAGAGCTAGGGGGTCGCAAAAATCCCGAAAATGTTCGAACGTGACGGTTGACCCTGCTATGAAAGCAGCCTTACGCGTCGACAGTCCAACTGACTGACCACTGAGTTAGCTCAAGTAACACGTACGTTTGGAGGCCGTCGGGGATGAATCCCCCTAGTCGAGACTAGGGGGATTCATCCCCGACGAATCCTCCCCGACGACCCTATGCAACAAGCCCCGAAGGTCGTCGGGGATATGTCCCCGACGATCGTCGGGGCTTGTTGCATACGACTTCGGGGATATGTCCCCGACGATCGTCGGGGCTTGTTGCATACGACTTCGGGGATATGTCCCCGACGATCGTCGGGGCTTGTTGCATACGACTTCGGGGATATGTCCCCGACGATCGTCGGGGCTTGTTGCATACGACTTCGGGGATATGTCCCCGACGATCGTCGGGGCTTGTTGCATACGACTTCGGGGATATGTCCCCGACGATCGTCGGGGCTTGTTGCATACGACTTCGGGGATATGTCCCCGACGATCGTCGGGGCTTGTTGCATACGACTTCGGGGATATATCCCCGACGATCGTCGGGGCTTGTTGCATACGACTTCGGGGATATATCCCCGAAGACCTTCGGGGCTTGTTGCATACGGCCCCTGGCCTCCCCGAAAACTTTCAGTCTGCGCCCTGCTCAAGGTTTATGCTGCTGGCTGCCGTACATTGGTTGAAAATTCTCTTCTTGCCGGCTCTCCAAACGGACACCGTCAAGAGGAGAATGTCGTAATCCCTATTCCGAGCTGTCCGCACAGCACCCTCTCCAAATTTCAACTCATAGAAGTGAACCTGCTCAAACCACTACTTTGACGCCTTCACTTCAAACCTTAAAAAAAGTGAGGCCCGAGTCCCATCAAAATACAATGGCCGTGCAAGAAAGAGAATGAAATGGGCTTTCCAACGATATGCAATAGTACAGCAATCGTATGGAAATTTCTCGGAAAAATATCAAATAAAGTATGAGACATTGAAACCGGCATTAATTTCGGGACAACCTAATATATATTTGCCCCTTATAAAAACTGACCCCCATGCAAGGAGAATGATTCTAGTACCCTATTGGCTTAGCCCTATCAAGAAGGAGGGCCATAGTGGGCCCATCAGATGAGGCGCAAAGGCTGATGACGCCACTTTCAGGACCAGGGAAATCCTACTGACTCAGACCAAAAAGTTACACCAATTTTTTATACGGTAATCACATCCCTTCGATGGGTTTTGGTCACCGCAGAAGAGTCAACCAACGTTGAGTATCATTCCCTTTTTCACAAAGCAGCTCCGGAGCCTGAAGGCAATGCAGTGACGACTGTAGAAGTTAGGAGATTTGATCTATGAGCGCGTGGAATTAAGAGATTCGTGAAATGAATGAAAAGGAATGCTTGGTATGCATGCTGCTAAGTTCTACGGTTTCCTTTCCGGCTACAGAAGCATGCCATTGGAATTGCGAACAAGCTACATTAATCGAAAGGCACTAATCTTCTGCGCAACTGTCTTGGCACCCTTTCTTCGATATTCCTCTCGAAGACCATTCAAGGAGATGAATTCTCCATCGAAATGGAAAACAATTCCATTGCTAATTGATTGGTACCCACCCTAGATGCACTACACTTTCGCCCAACAACAAAAAAATCACATGATGGTTCTCTAATACGAAAAGATCCGTATCGCTTCATTGTCGTCTCGCTAAGATCTAATGAAACACGTGAGAGTAACGCGGTGCGCTAATGCGAATCAACCAAATGAACCGTGTCGATTAGTCAAGAGTGTAACCTACTGCTCTGGCAAAAAACCAGCGAAAGCGATACAGAGGCGAACGCCAAGTACATGGTCAGGTGTGAACGTTTGCGTACGGATCTGAGCACT